TTTTGGTTCTTTACATTGACATGCACTGTATTTAGACTTAACCCACCGGGAGGACGTTCCAGAAGCACTTACCCCTGAGCAGCATGTGGGGCCCACGTGCAGCGTGCCCATGGTGGGCAGCCAAATAAGACTACCACAGCTACTCACAGTGCGCGCCTCGCACCGAGGTTGGACCTGTTAGAGCTGCTGCCACCCCATAAGAGACTGAGACGTTGCTAGTGTTGGAGGCGAGGCTTCCCCCACAGAAGACGTTGGGATGATGGTGCTGGCGCAGGAGCCTGAAGGTGAGGCCGCCCCAAAAGACGATACTAAGGTGTTGCTGGCGCTGGAGGCAAGTCCGACCCCGCCACAAGAGTAGATGAAATAGTGTTATAGCGATGCCGTGGGCTCCGCTACTGGGATAATGACATGGTGTGAGTTTTGTCAGTATTAACAGTGTGTGTATTACGAAGAGCCTGAATCTTTCTGTAGCGGAGCACGTGTCGAGGACGGCCAGCAGTTTTCGGAGCAGCTTGATTACTGTTTGCATCACGGTCGCGCTTTTTACTGCGGTTTACCATGAATCACTTTCCATCTCCATCCACATAACTGCATGGGTGAAGGGTGTACTGGAGGTGGACGCTGTCACACATTTTAGCGTAATAGCGACACGGGCAGTACTTTTCGCCGAGTATACAGCCCATTCAGAGTCATTCAGAGCTAGGCTGCCCTTCGATCTTTACACTCCCGTAATTGGCTGAAAACTGGGCAGCCACATCGAACACCTCTGCAGACTGACCGCGCGATGGAACAAATAACCTCAGAGGGGGTAGCTCAGAAACCCGGACAACAGCTGTATCATCGACCAGGAAACTGATGCTGCTACGGCAGAATGTGTATTCGCGGTCCTGCGTAGATCTGTCGAGCGAACAATTAATTTCCTGTCCACCATCTTTCGCTGCTCAAATGCTATCGGGGCCATCGAGTGGTGGCTGCAGCAGTCCATAATGTGCTGGAGAGGTACAGCGAGCTTGAGCTTCCGCTTTTGCGTGTTGAACGCTCTGTTGAACGTTTCACATGGATTGTTCTTTGATGCAAATCCGGGTCAGATAGATCTCCCAGATGCAAAAGTTTCCCAGTAGCCACTGCTTTTTCATGTATTTGCGAAACATATCCAGCTCTGGACCGGTTCTCTTCTCGGACCTTTGCTTTCCGCTCTAAGAATTCAGTTTGGCTTGTAGGTACCGTAGAGTCCTCGATAAACCCCAGCAACCGCGTCAGTATGCTGTTGATGAGTCGGCTCTTTAAGTGCAAGACACAGTTTGGCCACAACACGATAAACGCACAAAAGAAACGTATACCGAATTATCGTAGTCCTAGGGGACGTTTACTCCTAAGGGTCACCAACGAACCAGCCAATCGGATCCTTCAATTGTAATACAGATGGCTCCATTACTTACGATAAGGTTCATTCTAATTTTACTTCGGCGGAAGCTAAAAGAACGGAGCCCAACACCACAAAGAAAACGGAAGGCCGTCGAAAAGTATGGTTCGCCCTCGCATCAATGGACCAGGAAAGAAGCGGAAGACCTATCAACGTAGGGCAGTAGAGTATGCGCATAAGAGAGACGTCCTCGACTACATTGACAGCGGTCACAGCCTTGACGAGACAATTTCACAGTTCTACGGCGACTTAAGTGGCTCCGACATTCGTGCTAAGAAAAAACAAATTCACAAGCGGAGCAAGCAGGCTCCAACTATACGTGCTGCATGTGATTCTGGGCGGGGGTGCCACCGAAATCTGCGCGGACTTGGTGAAGCGACTGTGCTCACCAAGGAGGCTGAACGCGCTATCGTAGTTTGGGTGAATTCGCTGCGGAAAGATGGTGCCCCTGTCTCCCGTCTCATGCTTCAACTGCAGGCAAAAGAAGCAGCTGCAGACATTGGCCTAAGAGGCAAATTTGCAGCCACATCAACATGGGTTAAGCTATTTCTTCGTCGCCATAAATTAGCGCTCCGTGCACGTACCAGGCAGGGACAGACGACGCCACATGATGCTGAAGATGCAGCTACGACATTTCGAGCGCTGGTGCTGCAGACAATCGTCGAAAAGAAGTGTGTACAAGTATACAATGCTGATCAGACGGGTAATATTTTTAATGACTTTTCTTCTTGTAGGTGTGAATTTGAGTATTTACCAAAACAAACCATATCTCAACGTGGAGTGAAAACTGTTTGGGTAAAATGTGCAAATAAAGAGAAGGCTCGAGCTACAGCTATGCTTTTGGCGGACTGGGAAGGCACAAAATTGGCTCCATTCATAGTGTTCAAGTGTCAACCGTCAAAAATTAAGGAAAAAAGGGAAGAGAACCACACTCTGCGCCATGGGTTTAGCCCGACTATGTGGACCCGTGAAATTAATCCACTTCAAGAGCGCTACAATTGTCAAATTTACGGGAACCAGTGCGCATGGTGGAATTCTGATTTGTCTCTGAGATTTCTCAAATATCACTTTGCTGAGCGCACGAACCGAGATGACCACATTTTACTCATATGGGACGATTTCAGCGGGCATTGGACCCCTGAAGTTGAAGAATATGCAGCGTCTATTAACGTTATCCTACTTAAAGTACCGCCGCGTTACACGTACGTATGCCAACCGGCAGATATTTCGTGGAATAACCCCCTAAAAACTAGGTTGCGAGGTCTGTGGATCAACCGGCTGAGAGACCAACTTGTTGCGTATCGAGCCAAGGAGAAGCAGCGCCAGGAGAAAAGGGACAAACTCCAGAGAGATATTATTCGTGTGCGCAAGGATCTAGTGCAAGAGGAAGCAGAGTCTGAAGTTGAGCGACTTCGGAAACAGCATACAGAAGAGCCCTTTAAATTGGAGCCCCCAAAAAGAGAAGACATTACGGAGTGGATATCAAAATGCTGGAACGAGCTTTCAGAAAAGACAATTGCTAGTGGATTTGCAAAAGTAGGCATATTGGCTGATACTCGCCGTGCTGAGCAAGATTTTGACTCATATCCGGGACATATTGATAGCGAGCTTGTCCAAGAGCTGGAAAAATGCAATTTAACTGATGGTCATGTCGACTCTGACGATGATATAGAGTCTGAAGCTGGTACCGGTAGTGATAGCGGTAGCGAATGCTAAATACAGTAATTTGCAGTGGATGCTTCGGTAAAACTATGATTTGCATTCATATGTCGGTGCTCACGATTTGCATCCTTTGCTATTGAAGTGACGCCTAGGACTACGATAATTCGGTACCTCCCTAAGGCACCAAAAATGTTCTTAATACCGTTAAACTGTGCTTTATCAGCGCCGCCCATAACAACCCGCACATTTATTCGCTTGCCCACCACTTTTGCCCACATAGTCTGCTGGCCCAAAAGGGCTTCAGTGTAGTGCTGCTCTTCTAACGAAGATGTTATAGAGAGTGTGAGCAACTGAAATTTCCTTGCGCCGTCTGACATTCCGCAAACGATGATAGGGTACCAGCCTCTGCTAGCTACCAAGTATCATCAATGTGCAGAATGAAGGTGTCTGAACTCGCCGATCTGCCGAACGCAACAACGATTTGGTCGCTATGCCAACTACAAACGGTCGAACATCTAATCCATCGCCGACAACGGGATTTCCGCTGGAATTGGTGGTGTGCGTGAGCGTGAAGGCTTCGTACTCTGCCTCTCGGTCACTGAAGGAGGCAGCACTGACTCGAGAGGCCAGATCCTAGACGCGGTCATTGCCGCTCAGCTTTGTACGACGATAGTGGCTCGCCGAATTCTGAATTTGACGTAGTCTGGGTAGCTCTTGTAAGGGCTTACCAGCTTACGAGACATTGTATATCAAATGCGCAGAGGCGTTAGATTCTCTCTGGTCATATCATGAATGAAAGCTTTCTGAGTGCGTGACATGGCGGGCTTCTTGCGTGGAATTGCCATCGAAAAGTGCGTCTCGAGCTCATACAGCGTCACCGTTTTTGTATTGAGGCACGTGAGTCTCTTGCCACACCAGACACACTTGGAAATGGCGCTACAGGTAAGCACTGCTTGCACGCACACGATAGAAGGCTGTTGCATATTGAATGCGGGGTTGCTGACGCACACGAAGTGTACGACAGAGACGGCTTTTCGACGCCGTGAACGCTTTCATATTCACCAGCAAAACGTTAGCGTCTACCTCGGATAATCACAGGTAAATTGCGTGTGTGCTACGCAAAATAGTTGGATCTTGGGCTGGTTGGGGGGAAGGGGACGGGGTCTTGTAAATTGATGAGTGGTAGGTAAAGCGTTAGATTTTGTGCGCATTCGCTAATTTCACGTGGAAAATTTATGTTTCTTGTGAATCCTCCAATTATGTTGTGCTGATCTGCTTTAGGTGATGCCATTAAGTTGCTAGTTGTGTAAAATCTGCATTTGTCGTGATTGTCAGACATATGTGGTGCTGTTCACGCTCTTTCCGCACGGCATGGAAGAATTTGGATGGGGTGAAGTACATAAGCACACGATGTCGAATCACCGACAGCACATACAGCCCATGCACCTCGAGACTATGCTTTGCTTGTGAAACTCAGCAGGCGCTTTAGAAGCACGTCTACTATTGCCGAGGGTATTCATAAACAGTGAGAGCTATCACGGGGACGTCTTGGCAATGTGCTTTCAATATGGGCTTGTCTACGTCGATACTTTCGGTGTCTAATAGTGTAGAGGCGTTGCATATCTTCAAGGATCCATTTATCTGAGCATCTTTTTCATTGGTCGCACTAGTCGATCGAAAAAACTTTAACCCCCCCCCGGTACGAGAGCAAATCGTTCATGCACCCCCCTAACCTCATGCTTGATATCAAGCACGTTAAAGACTAGTGATAACAAGGAGTTTTTGTATGTGGTAAAAAATGAACCATATCCGCCTCTCAGTACAAATCCACCCTTTATCACTGTCCATGTGACCACACGCTTTCTATCGAGCTTGTTCTGATGTGGTCTATAGCTGCATGCTAGATATAGAGCAAAATAATTTGGCCTTTTTACAAGGAGAGTCTTTCTTTAGCTAAATCGAGTGCAAAAAATACTGCGAACGTCTTGTATTGAGGTAGTAAAATTGACCATGCATTAAATTTTTTATCCTGCTGCTGTGCACTAGAGCTTGCTTTATAATAGTCTTCATCTGTCACACTGCTTCTCCATCACTCTAGTCACTAAAGTATGTAGAATATTCCCTGCTGCTAGAGCAGGATTTCCCCTCGCAATCCTCTTCGTGCAGATTGGCGTGTCGTCTGTGACTCCAAGTCTAGGTGACACCACAAGCTCCGAAGGCCACAGCTTGGCCATGGACGAGGAGTGGGTGGAGGTGAACGGTATTCGTAAACG